CGGCCGCGCTCTCACCTCCCTTCCCGGTCAGAGCGCAGGGTCGCTTATCAGCGAGGTCTTCCTACCGGTAACCCGGTACTGGCGTTTCTCAGGCGCCGGTGTGAGGGGTACGATAAGGGCCAGTGAGGGCGGATCGGGCCCGTCTAGTCCTCTCTCGTGTCGCAGAAGAGCGGATAAAGCAACTGGCACGCTCAGGTGTCAAAGTTAACAGTCTGGGGCCGGACTGCTTGCAGCAGAGGTTGCTTGCAACCTCTGGAAGGAAATGACTTTATTTTAGAGGCGTTTACAGTATTTCAGCACTGAGCGGAAGCATATTCTTTATTGAGAGATGAGCCTACGAAGTCCTTGCAGGTACAGATAGTCCAAGCTGTATTTTATTTCTCAAATGATTCAACCATTGCCTTGTAAGGAGATCCAGAGCCTTCAGACTCATACCCAAAAGTCACGGGCTGTGGTTTCATTTTGCTTTATCTGATTTAATTTTTAAATGAAAATAGGTTCTTTTGGATAGTTTGTTTTCTCCCAGTTGCTAATCATGCAATTAAATATTTAAGAGGGAAAGACTAACATAGGGACTTGACAATAGCTTTCTGAAATCATGGCTCTTCCGTAATATCTCTGAGTAATTGTGTGTCATCGTAAGCCATTTGTGTTAGTGAAAAAAAAAGGAAAACGTGATATTATCAACGTTAGTCCAGCCAAATCAAAGCTTTCTACGACTTTGTGCTAAATTAAGTATCCCACCTTGTAGAAATATAAATATTTTATATCTCTGATTTAGGATATTCTGGAGGTGTTTGCAACCACTTAAACTTCACTTGCTTGGTTTATGGTGGTCCCTAAACCTCACAGACTTCAGCTGCCATCTGAGTTTTTGTCTCCAGTTCTTTGTTTCCTTTTCCATCAAGTTTCTTCCCTCATTCTCTTTGCAACTCCGCATGACTTTGGTTTTGATCTTAAAGCCTAACTAAAGTAGTCACGAAAATAACGTATAACAAATATTTATTTGGTGGTTTTCTGTATAGTTTTCCTTACTGTCTTTTGCCTGATAAGTCTCTCTATAAGGTTTTTAGAACTGTTTCCTATTGGTTTATGCAGGAGACTGGCACTGTGAGGCATTACCTTAATTGGTTTTTAGATGCTGTCATGAATAATGCAAATAAATAATACAAGTAAGGGTTGGAGTTTGTCATTTCTTGTGTACGAAAACGATTGCTTTTCTTTACTCTTCAGCTTTGAGCTTGTCACTGTGTTCTCTTACTATGTCTGAAACACATTTAGTCATTTTCTGACATTTTCCCCCTCTTTGAAGTAAATTTCTTCAAAATAAGCCCCCTCACATTTCATTTCCTTTAATGACTTATGTTCATGAACTGTTCTCATGTGTGAGTAAGACGTATCTTATTGATGTTTTTGTAAAGTGTTCTGCAAATTAATGCTGTAATATAAATGTATTATGGTAGGATCAGGGAAAGCACAACCAGTATCATGTGGGGAAGGTAAAATCTCAGTGCATGTCCTAGAGGAGTTCTAAATCTCTTCTGCCTTAACAACCTTGCTGTGTCGTATGAATTTGTGCATGAGAGAACTGTTCATTTACCATGTAGGATGATAATTCAAGTTGATCGTGAACACAGAAGTAAATGTGTTGAGATAATTTTACTTTATTAGGTATTCATTTAGGGAGAGATAAAACTCAAAGATAGGAACAATAGCTGTATAAAATACTCAGGGTGATTTCTGAAGAAATTTTACGAGGTTTCAGGTCATAAATTTCCACCTCAAAAAGAATTCCAAATAGATTCTGCAAACGAAGAAGGAATTTATTGTCTGAAGTATCAGATTTATTCTTAACATCTAAAATGTAGAGTATGGGAAAGGATGGGGGAAGGGTTCTTGGCTCTATCAGGTGAGGAACAAACTATAACATTTTGGAGTTGTCAGGTCAGCCATTGCTGAATTTGTCTTTAAAAATACCACACCAGAATGAATTGTAGATCACTCCCTGCAGGCAACTTCTTGTTCTCTAATTTTAGATTCTCTTCTGAAGGAAATGCTGCCTGATGGTGGAAGAAGTGAGGAGTCTGGGTAGTGAATCTTGGTCTACCCCTAATCCTTTGTACCTTTGGGAAGCCATTTTGCCAATGCACGCTTCGGGTGCAGTTAAAAATTCACATTGTAAAAATAAAGGTGTAATCTCAATGTTTGATAGTGCTTTAAAAACCTGTGAAAATTATAAACTAAACCAAAAATGCCTCATATACTGAATTTTTTAGTTTCATCGTTTTCTAATATTCTGCTAAAAAGCAATAATAATTTAAAATATTTGGTGTGATGATAAATGCAGGTGTAAATTGATAGATAGAAAGACCTTTAGAATTTCTTACCAGTTGAAAGACTGAGCTGTTTTCTTCCATTGGTAAGAAAGGGGAAATGTAACATTTAAATAAAACCCAACCACAGACAGATGGCTTCAGAATTCTACCAGGAAGTCTACCTGGTTGATTATGCCAGACTTAAAGATGGGGATCCAGAAAGCATGCAGAAAGAAAATTCCTATAAACTACACAAATCCCACTCCTAACTTCACAGTAGGTAAAGGTAATGAGTTTGGTTCTTTTTTTTTATTAAAAGAGTTCTGGTTAGAGAACATGTTAAAACTGTCCTAAAAAGATAAAAGCTACAGACTAGCATCACTCTTAATATAGGTGAAAAAGAAACCCTGATGTTCTTAAGTATATCCTTTTTGGTTTCTGGGGAGATACAATATCTGTCTTGCCATTTACATACTGGTTAGAAAATTGTGGGTGCTTGGGTCACACTTTAAAGAGAGATTTGAATTCTTAATAGGTCTTATTTTTAAGCTGTAGTGAATGTTCATGTGCTGTGATTGAAAGATATGTTCCACTTACATGGTGATAAAGGTTTATTTTTTTAATACCTTTCCTGAATATGGTTACATATTTTTATTGGCTCTTAATAAGTTTTACACTTTGTTTTTAAAGTATTTTTTAATTTTAAACTTCTCAGTCACTGGGCCCTTGAGACCAGCCCTGGGGCATTGTTGGTCCTTTGCATTATCTGAAAACTTGTTCTGGGTTTCAGGATGTAGGTGCTCAGAGTAAGAGTTCTGCACGTGTAGATGTAAAGGAATTCTTCAGTCCTCCTTACTAAATTAAGAGCCCATTTCTCCCCTCCTGTATATTCATGCTACTCACCTTGAGCCTACGTGCAGTGGAAGACAAGACTTGTCCTTTGGTTTCTTGTTTTTTGGTTTTTTTTTTTTTTTTTGAGAACTGTTGCCATATCCAGCCTTAGTGGAGCAATAAACATTGCCAGTTCAGATGAAGTTTTGCAGTTGAAACTTTGTGCCTGTTTTGGGAGGAATCTGGCACAAATGAGGTTGTAGTAGTTTTAGCAATGTAGAGAAAGATTTAATCCAACTTCTCATATTTTTCAGAAGTAGTCCCTAGTAATAGTCATCTTGGATTTTGTTAGTTCCAGCAAATTAATGTTGGTGTCTGTAGTATAATACTGGAACTGTAAATTTCATGGCATGGTAATCGTTTTATTTTAATGGTAATCGTATGATTTTAATGTCTCACTGGTACAGTTTTGTGCAACTATCACCGGCTGTTTTTAAATAGTGAATTTCTATTTTCAAAATAAGTTGAATAATGGTAGAATTAACTCTAAAAGTGTGTTGTTCTTTTGTATCTTTCTAGTTATCTGTTAAGTTCAGTAATGGCAAAATATTTATTTCTAGGTAACTTAGAAGAGAAATCCTTAAGTGTGCTTCTATTTCTCTTACTGGATAAAAATAACTTCGAAGCTGATTTGCAGTGACCATGAATAATCAGTGAAGACACGTGGCATTTTCTGGAATATTGAATGTTCTCATAATGAAGATCTCTCTTCTGCAGCAGATGTATAAGGACATACTGGTAGGCATCCCACTAGCAAAGGAAAGCCATCATTATACCTCTTTACTTAATCTGTGTGTTGAACAGTCAGCAGAAAGAGATGAATCATGTAATCAGATGCATCTGCCGTCTACTAATGGTGGTATTAGGAGCCATCAGGACACTGATATGTCAGATGTGGTTGTCCCTACAACAGATAATACATCAAACAGCTTTGCAAACATGAACTCCTCATTCTCTCCTCGAGAAGTGATGCTGCTTCAGCTAACCTTGATCAAGATGATGGCTGCTAAAGCAGAGTCCCTGGAGATTGAATTCAGTATGAAACAAAAGTACTGTGAAATCTTTGTCCTTCTTCTGAAGGAGGCAAAAATTGACTCAAAATTGGTAAGCTTTTGTAAACTTCTGAAAGATTTTTGTCAAAGGAGGAGAAAAAAAAGGAACATGCCTTAGATACTTTTTCTTTCTACATGTCTGCAGATTTGTCTGCTCGGTAGTTGTGATCAGCTGTTATCTCACATGGCGTCAAAAAGTTTAGCATCTCTTGTGTATTTCCAGCTGAAGGAAGAGGTGAGTACGGCGTAACTTTTCACAGCTTAAAAAAAATGACTTGGTGAATATGTGCCTTCAAGTTGTTCCATTTGACTCTAGAGCCAACTTTTTACAGTCTGTATGGCACAAAAGCAGTCACTATGAGAGTACTGTAAAATCTAAAAGTACTTCTAAGAGGCTCCTTTCGTAAGCAGACCCACAGAGTGATACCAAAACTGCTCCTTTCCTCCGTCTGTTGCCTGCACATCTACTCTGCTCTGGCTTTCTGGAAGGCAAATCTGCAGTCTGCTGGTGTACAGCATACAGACTCTGTTTGTCCCCTCAAAATGCCACACAGTTTTGTTGCAGTGTGTTTAGCTCCAGCATCAGGAACAACGTGAAGGTTATACAAGATAATACTCTGTGATAGTTCTTCCGTAAAGTGTGTGTTAAGGGGCTTTGGGTTGCAAGTGATGGATAGGAAAGAGATGTAATAAATATTTAAAGTGTGTTAGGAGGGGCATGGGATATAGAAGGAAAGATCAGATGTGTAACAGGTTTATAATGGGAGGTGGAATGTCTTACATATAAAACTGGAATTTTATGAAAGTATTTTAAGGTAAAATGTGTCTAGGTGACAAGAAATATTATCTTTAAGGTTGCAATACAGGTGTTTAAAAAACCTGATATATCTACCCTATCAATATTTTACTTAAGATCTGTTAGGTGATGCAGCAGATAAAAATAGGTATTAACCTGTTGAAAGTTAATCAGATGCTTCTCTGTATTTTCTTGCTTGGATATTCCAAATACTGGAGGTTTTTTTACTTGCCATGTATTTGGTGAATATGTATTGTAGCCTCCATAGTAGCATTTCTGAATATAGATTTCTCTCAGAAATATGTTTGTAGTATTTCTTGCAAAGTTGTCTGGACCTGGGAATTATGAATTCAGATATGGTCTGTCTACAGTATTATCTGATTTCAGGTAGGTCACATGACATTAGGAGGTTTGGTTTTCCCTTTCTGGAAAATACAGGTATTTTTCTATTGCGTGCTTATGTGACTTTGTGTTGTAAATACAGGCCTACATACTTAAAAGGCACTGGACACATACTTTGTCTCTACTTGTGTTTTGTCTATGCTTACATTTGAATCTTTTTAATGTACAATTTTAAATCACTGTATTATGATTCAATGTAATTTACATAGCAATTGTAAAGTGTACGTCATTATTTTTTTGAACTCATTTTCTTAGAACTCATTAAATGTCACCTGGCTCACCTTCAGTTTGAAGACTCTTTCAGGATTCCCTGTGAATACCCACGTAGCAGAATGTCTGTGGACTCTGACAACTATTATCAAGGACATACTGAAAGATAAAGTTTTACTCACAGCAGGTACTGTAGCAATTTTATGATGATATCCATCCACGAGTGCCCACTAGGGGGTGGAATGTTACTTGTAATCTCAGCTAGAACAGCCTGTCTAAAGAACACCTATTCGTTATAAAGAGGGTGACAAAATGCTGTTAAAAATGTAGTGGTTTAAACATGCTTAAAAACTGAGAATAGTCACAATCACCTGTTTTCTGATTATTTGATGATTTAGCTGACTGTGTTACATTCCAACTCCATAACCACCTTCTTGTTGCTGTAGGTGTTTTGGAGAAGTTGTTGGCTCCTCTTGATGCTGTGCTTGAAGGATTTTATGATTCCATTCTGTTTCATCATTTTGACAGTCACAACTATACTTCACCTTATTCTGAAGCTGCAAACAATTTGATCAGTTTTATAGATCTGCTTGAAGCACTTTTGGCTTCCAGAATTGAATTGGAACTACCGCTCAGATGCCAGAGAGTATTGTTTTTGAAAGTGTCTTATGTCCTGAACCTTATTAGCTCGTCAATTCACTATGTAATCAAGAAGAAGTTCATTATGCTCCTTAAAAAATATGTCCTTTACAAGTCTAGAGAAGATGCTAAAAGCGGATCGCTGTTCTTACAAACCCCATCTTTATATGAGGATACGCTTGCGCTGAGTAATGCTGTCCTGCAGGTTGTGAATTTGACTTGGCTTAATCAGATCCCGATCAGTGAAAAGGCCAGCTACTTTGGAGGCAGTGAAGCTGCTCCTGGAGATGATACTCAAGGTGGTTCTGACCAGACTGTTCTCAGAGCCTTAAGTCTGGTGGTGCTTAAAGCACTGGAATTCAAGTTTCAGAACTCTGCTACAGAAGCTGAAATCAAAGGTAATAATCTCTTTTAGTTTTGTTCATTAAGTTGCAAGAGTTTTAAAGCTTTCAGATTTTGTAGTCACAGCTTGTTAAGACTGTAAATAGAATTCAGCTGAATTCTATTTACAGGTGGTGGGAGGGAGGAAAGAGAAGATGCACCCAGGAAACCTGCTATCACTGTGTCCTGCCTAATTAGTTGTCTCCTTGCATTTTATCCTGTCCTTAGCCCTGCAGTGTGGGGGGCTTGGAACAGCTGTTTTTCGGATTGAAAACTTTTCCTATTAAAAACATGTGTTAATATTTGAAATAGTTGAGCCAGCTTGGGAACACCAGGCTCTTCTCCAGTTGGAAAAGAAGAGAACCCTTAACACAAGCATCCACTCTATTCAGGGTGGAGAACTAAAAGGAACAGCAGGTAACTCTTCCTGTTTTCTAATGTGGAGGCAGACCTGCAAGTACCATTATCTTGGTTGAAGGTGCTAGGCATTACTGTCAGTCAAATAATGTAAAAGGGCAAAACCCAGGAGTGGGAGAAAAGGTAAAAATAACGAAGCTGTAAAGTAAAATATAGGAAAGTTATGGGAGTTGGTAAAGTGTATTGGTTGTGTTCTTCACCCTGACTTATAAGTCTAGTTCTTTGAATTAGTAGGCATTAGGCATACTTTTCGTACCTGCTTACTTGAGTGTGCTTGTTCTGCTGAATAGATGAATTCGATTAGCAGAAGAGCAGATCTGGTTCTTGTGCTAGGGCTATGCCACAAGGCAGGCAGTGGCATGGCAAGGGAATGCTGTGTAACTTGTGTTCCTGATGGGAGAGGATGCATTTCTGTGTCATGCTGGTAGCCAGTTAGTAGCCTTCTCCTGTGCTATATTGGAGTGGTGGGGTGAGGCTTTTTGCCTGAGAGACGCTCCTGGAATCCCATCTTTCCACTTGCCTCTTCACCTCCGAGAAGCACGTGATGCGTCCCTTCTGATGCTGAGCCGTGTGAATGTGGATGTGCAAATTCTATGACCGAAGCAGCTTGCTGCCCCTGGATTACAGGCTTCATGGCAAAAATGGAAAGGCAGTTCTGACGCAGTGTTTCTAGTCAAATAAAAGTGAGAATGGGTGTTCCTTATTGTCAGCCAGTTGATGATGTAGCAAAAAGTAAAAAATGTATTTCTTTTTAAAATTTCATCCTTGTTTAAAGCATCTTAAATATGTTGAGGCATTTTAATACAAGTTATAGATGTAAATGTTATTTTACTTTTCATATTTCTACATTATGTGGCAAGCATAAAATCAGTTTTTTGCTTGTTTGTTGTTTTTTTCTTTTTAAATTCATCTGACGTTGCAAAAGAGCCTTGGACTTCTGCAAGACAGCCTCTGACACTTTTTCCAGATTTTGGAAGATGTTATATTTGTGATGCTAGTTGCATTCTTAGAGGTTTTTTTAAGTATTTGTAGAGAATATTTTACTTACAGTCCACCTTCTTAAAAATGTTTAGAGACTGAGATTGTCTAAGAACAAGTGAGAAGAAAAAATGTAGGTTAAATCTATTTCAGATGTCTCCCTGAAAACTCTTTCTCAAAGAAAAAAATTCTCTTTTCTTTTCCAGATTCATGACCCAAAAATGAGTTCTTTAATTAGATTCAAATACCCCAACTGTCAAGAGGAATTTCAAGTTGAAAGGAATGGTGCTTCTATTTTAGTGACATTAAATTAAGTGGTTAAAACAAGCACCAAAATGCTTTAATATGCTAATTTCCCTTCCGGGAAGCTGGTTGATCTTATCTTTTTTTTATTAACAAGAATTACAGTGGCTTAACTTTAATTCATTTCAATTTTGAGAGGAATTTCCAGATAGCTTTGATTTATAGAGAGGAATTTCAGTCTGAATAGTAAGTATTAATAACAAAGATAATTTGCTGTTCCAATTATTTGGTAAGAAGAAAAGCAAATCTTGAAGTCAAGTATTAAGGAAAACCACATAATATTGGTTTTGTAAGTAAAATCGATTCCCAGGTTGCAGGAAATTTTTCAAAAGCAGTAATCACTGTTTATACAAGTGATGCAACTGCGCTCTTCAAGCCATAGTGTACTTCCAGCAGCATTAGAGTTCTTACTTTGGGGTAAAGATAAACGTTGATATATTTTTTTTTCTGTTTTCTAAATGTTGAATGTATGCCGTGTTGCATGAAAAACTGGTTCCTATGTTCGGGCATAAAGAATCTTTTTATAATATGTCATTACAGAAGAGGTAATTATTTTTATGAGTAAGCTACTGCACTAAACCGGCATAAACTTTGAGGCGCTTTTCCCATCCAGGAGGGCAGTGTTTAGAGGGAGGGGGAAAATGAAGATTTGCAGGAAAAACACTGCTTACATTAATCCTTCCAGCAAGGATTTTAGACCATGTTGTGAAGGGACCTTTATCCCAAGCCTGTATGTACTTGAAACATACATTATCCGTGAAGAATTTATTTTATAAAGAATGTGACTGTACCACAAGCTTCATACTTTGTTTTATTGTAGAAATGGCAACTTATTCCCACCAACTATAGATCACTGAAGTTAATTTCTACAGTGAATCACGCTGGGGGAGGTTAGCTTCAATCCTATCGAAATATTACAGTTATATTATTATTTCATAAGGGAAGAACTACCTGAGATGAAATCTCAGCAAACTGCTCATACTGGATTGTTACATCTGTGGCATTGACTTGATTACAGTTCACCTTTCTCTAGTTTGTGATGTACCAATGAAGCTACCTAATGGGGTAGTTTTATCTGCTGGGGGCGGGGGGGAGGAATCCTGTACCTAATGAGTACAAATTAATTTTCTGCAGATTACTTACAGTTGTTAACATTGGTATCTAAACATTGGTATGTTTGGAGTTTAATAGAGTAGCCATTCACATTTAATTTAAGGTTAGATAACTGCTTTTGGTTTTCTGCAGAATATTTCTTGATTTTTGTTTTTAATTTTTTTTTTTCATACTGAGAAGCAAGAACTAATCTATAAAATTGGATGCTGTGTTAAATAAGTTGTCCTAAGGAATGATAAATGCATTCATGAACTGTTACGCACTGTTAATGTAAAAAATAAAAAGCATATGTTGTTTAGTGACAAAAAATGTATAGCAAAATTCATGGTTACTTCTTTTTTTCAGGAGACTTTCAGAATTCCATGTCCCAGTTGTTGATATTCTGGAAGAGTCATGTGAAGTCTTCCCCACAGTCTCACCCAGTCGTACATCACTGTGAATGGCTTTCCTTGGTTTTCATAGAGCAAGATGATGATATGTGGGAAGCTGCTAAAGCTTTATTACTCATTTATTTAAAATTCGATAGGTTAGTATACATTTTATTTGACAGAACTACAAAGAATTGTAATTTAGTGAGGTTATTGTGATATACGTAACATTTCCATTGATTACTTTGGTATTAAAAAATATTTTTAATAATTAAAAAAACCCAAACCTCAAGACAGTGTAATAAAATGTGGTGTAAGAGCAGTTAACTTTGCTGATATTTTGATAAGGTGGTTTTTTGCATTGAAATGGGGGAGTTGTGCAACAGTTTCTTATTAAATACTTTATCATATCCTGTAATTCAGAATAATTGACTTCATAATCTAAAATAGTGGTTAGACACAGATAAAAGGCAAGACTGTTTTCTTTCAACACTGACAGTTTGACAAGAATGGGATATTATAATTAAACATCAAGAATTCAGGGACTTCTGGCAAAGTATCCCTCTAAGGATTAGACCCATGTTAATTCTAGCTAGTTGATAAAACCTGTTATTGCTAGTAACTGGAATGTGTTCTTCAGGAATTTGTCCTGGACATTCATTGCTTTGCTGTTGTTTAAATTACCACGCAAGATACCCTAATTTACAAAAGGTCCTTCAAGCTTCAAATGTGAAGATATCGCAAGGAGTATCTTGGATACACACGATTCGTCTTAGATACCTAAATAAGAGTAGGCTGCTCTTCTCCAATGTGCTTAGCATCCTGCAAGTTAATGTAAGTTCAGGTTTACAAAAATATTAAAATAACAATTTATGTATTGTAGGTACCTTCGTTTATTCCAGAATGTTTCCTAAGGAGTAGTGTTATTTAAGAAGACCTGCTTTAAGTGCTTTGGCTTCCTAAACTGTTTGATCTCCTGGCCCCACCTGCCTTCATTCTTTCTCATTCTAATATAAAAACTTCTTTTTTTGGGATTTTACATTTTGACAACATCAAAAAAGAGCAAGAATACAATTTTCTGGATGTACCTGTTTTTAAAAAAACCTGTAAACTTCCATTGAATTTAATCCATATTATGGCTTTACTTTTCAGGTTACAGCATGATGCTGCTGCTAACTTAAGCCAAAAAGAGGAGGAAACCTGGAACTTCGTTACACATGCAAGTGGATATAACCCTCACTGTATATTTTTATTTTTTCTAGAAAAAATTGCATTTGATTCCACAGTACTTCTAGATTTTTTGATTTCATCAGAAACTTGCTTTCTGGAGTACTTCGTAAGGTACTTAAAGCTTCTTAGAAAAGACTGGCATCAGTTTGTAGATGTCTGTAACCATTTTGATACCAAACATAGCACTTTTCAATCAATTTCTTCTGCCAAGCCACCCCATCAAGAAAAACAAAGTTGTATGACTGATGAGAGTTTGCAAAATGCTCGTTGTGAACCAGACCCACAGACTCTGATATCTTTGGCTTCTTCTCACAATTACTTAGTGTTTACAACAGAGCAAGGTGATAATGAAGTTGCAGAGTCTAACCAGTCTAACTCATTGATATGCGGTGATAGTACATCTCTGCTGGGTTCTCTTCAAAGCCTTGTTAATTATGACAGCTCAGAAGACTCTGAATTAGAATCAGATGGAAAAGAGTGCTTGGTAAACACAAAGCAGGTGCCTTTAAATAACGAGGATGAGAAGAGGATAAGAGAAAGCGGTTGCAGCTACACAGGTGATAAACAGAATACACTCAAGTCTGAAGTGTTGCCTCTGAAACAAAAGGGATCTAATACCTCGTCCTGTTTGACTTGTATGGCATTTTCAGATAACATCATTCCCATAAGAATAATGCTTTACAGATCAACAAAATGTTTGGAAGAACTGCAAAAAGCTATTTCTAGGTTGCAGAGAAGAAATCTTTTCCCATATAATCCATCTGCACTGTTGAAACTACTGAGCCACATCGAGAAGATCAGTAAGAACATGAATCTGCAATAATCTGGAGAAGTGTTTTAGTGATTTTTTTTTTTTTTTTTTTTTTAAAAACCAGTACAGCAGGGAACATTTCCATGAGATTAATGACTTGTAAAGCCCATGCCTCTTGCACCTGTCAGTGTATTTAACCTGAGGATAAATGTGGCTTTGGTTGACACATTAAAAATCTGCAATTGCATTTGGAGATGTGATCCATTACCTTAGGGTCCCAGGCTTATTCATGGTATGTATGTCAGTGTACATTATATAAGTATTAATTGTTATGTATTCAAAATTTGATAATAAATGACCGATGTGGATGCATATCAACAATATATGATACTTCAAGTATTGTCAATTATACTTCATGTCATTCTATATATGAAATCATTGCCAGATTGGTAGTGATTTATGGACTACGGGGCAGTGTTAATGCAGCACTTGACTGCTTAGAGGTTGAACTAAATAAAATAGTTTAGCTGGGCATAGTATTGATGTTGATACTGCGTGTTCTGCATTGGTGCCTTGCTCTAAGTGGGCATTCAGATGTGCTACCACAGTCACATAATCCATGCCACGCTTTTCTTGGCTGTAGTGCTTAACTCATGTCTAGGATGTACTTTTTTTAGCTTTTGCTGTTTGCCTGATATAATCAGCAGCATTATCACTTCACTGAAAATTGAATTTAGTTTTCCTTAATATTTTATGGTATATTCCTTTAATTAAAAGGAGAGGTAGATCTGGGACTAGTGCATATATTGCCTTTTATAGAGCATTTTAGTGGAGCATTATATTTAACATCAAGCTTAGGTAATGCAGAAGTGAAATTGCAACAGAATTCCTCGCATTTATTATGTATTTTGTATAAGTATAGAATATATACTTAATAAATTTGTTAAACCAGAAGCAGATAACCAGAAATTAAGTGTCTGCAGTACAGCGAGGTGGATATTGAATTTAAATTCTTGTACTTGCATCTTTTATTAGATATAACTTGAATAACCTGAAGAGTAAGTGTCTAAGACTTTGCCTGGGGAGAGCTAATTCAGAACAGGATCCAAACCAGTGCGTGCACTTAGCAGGAAGCCACCTAATGTTGGTACACTTAACGTGCAGCTTGTAATGATCTTACAAGTGTTGGGCAATGGGAAAGTACTGACGACAGGGACTACTCTAAAAATCTCAGACCTCATCAGAACCATAAGAAGCAATTCTTCTCCTTTTAGGATCATCCCTTGAAGCTCTATTCTGATTGAGAACTAGGTAAGTTCTATTTAGTGTTAAAATAGTTATTGAGTTAAGATGAACAATCTCTAGAGCAGGTGACTCTGACCCCCAAATCTTGGGGGCCATCTTCTAGGTTAGTCTTCAGCTCTGAACTGTTGAATCGACACTATTGCGAGGGGAAGAAAACTAGATGAAGCTTATGGGATAATTTAGCTGGGAATTACAGTGCTTTCCAGAGACACTGGAATGGTATGAATTCTCAAGCAGGAAGGCTTGAACCTCAGTCTTATTCTTTCAGAACGACAGCTGTAATCACTTGGAAAGAGTGATCCCCTTCACGGACATGTAGGAGATCTGAATTTTCTGTGCATTCGCTGTGCTCTGATTTCTTTCTGAGATAACTTTTGTGCATAGGAGTGGGTGAGAATGTCAATGAATGGAAACGTTTCCATTCATGCTTATAGTTACTTTAGTTAAGAACTAACCTCTGGGTTATCCAGGACAGAAGAATGCCTGGTTTGTCTTTACCGTTTAAACTTGGTTATGCTCTAAATGCTGAGTGGCTCCTTTCTGTCAGGACTAAAATGCCTCTGGGCACTTTCAAAGATGCAACTCTAGACAACTTGGGAACTTTTCAGTTCAAACAAGGGAAGTGCCTTTGGCAAGGCAGTTGAGCAAGAGTTTCTCAAGTTCACAATTTTAAACATAGGTAGGTGCTTACATTTTAGTTAAATCCTTTCCACTCTCCTCGCTCCTTTTCTAATCTGGTCTTTGCTGACTAGTTTATTTTAACTGAGTAACTTCATTGTTTTAACTGAACCTAGTATTGTTCAGCATTTCTTGGTCTATACTTTGCCAGTTGGATGTATCTACATTACAACAGTATTTCTCAGACACTGATAACAAGCAGGGTGGGAAAGGTAGAATGGGGAGATAATTTTGGTTTTAAGTGCTAGTCTTCTTGTTTGTCAGGTAATTACTGTAGCTAGAAAAACTTTTTTGAAGTAAGAGTTTAGACACCTCAGAACAGTGTGTAGAACTTAGCAAGAAGAGTAGGAGCCAGAACTCTTACTTATTTTTTTTTTTTTTTAATACAGCACATCCAATTGCAATCCAAGTGTATTTAATTCTTACAGGCATGAAGTTGATTGTATGCCCAGTTGGTTATTAGTAGTGATCATTCCCACATGTTTCACTTCTCAGAAAGCCATTGTTTTAATTCTCAGAATGTTTTAGTGGTAAAAATGGGTAAATGTGGTTTGTATCTGGCAACTAGATGCCTTAATGTGTTGATATTTTACCATTTATGAACTGTAGGACCTGAGATGGAGTAAAACTGATGTGAGTCAACTTTTTTTTTTTTTAATTGAACACAATGAGTATGAGCAGTGAAAGTGGCTAGTAGTTCTGTGGCTATATTCAAAAAGCCTACCACAAAGAAAACACCTTGCAAAAGAATTTGTATTTTAATCCATTGGTGAGTATATAAGGAGGAGTGATTGGGGTTTGTTTGTGGGTTTTGTTTTGTTAGGGTGTTTTTTGGCTTGAGTTTTTACTTTCTAAAATTTTTAGGCAGCGCTTTTATTTAATTTGCTAGAGCAAATTAACTCAGCTGCAGAACTTATTACCGATGTTAAATTAGAACTTAGGAAGTAAATCAGTTATTACTGGGAGGTTGATGTGCCTTACCTTTGGATATTGCTGTCTAACAACTTCTCTTGTATTATTTCAAAGCAAGACACAGAACAAATCAGGTGACCTGTCTGGAGACAGTTTTCTATCTGAGGACTTATCCTGAAATGTCCACAGTCTCCATTTATGTCTGTGCAGTTGTTTTGAGGAGTTTACCTTCAACATCAATAGAATAAGTTATGCTTTAATGGGGTAAGCAGTTAGCGCTAGAAGTTGCTTACAGGATGTGCCTTTTAAAAAGAGTATTTTGGAACTTGAATATTTGTAGAGTTTGATTGCACTTACAGCTGAATCCAGGTGGTTCCATGTTTGTGGTTCTTCGAACTGGATTTCCTCCAATATTTTTATGACTGCTTTCCATTCTAGTTTTAAGACTTGTATTACAAGTTTTAATCCTGTAATACAATAATAAAAACCAACCCTGGGAATTTTTATACTTATGATACTGTTGTAAAGCTGGGAATAAGGAGGCTTGATTGTTCCCTGGTTTATCACTGCAGGATGAGCATTGTTTGTATGTGTGCTCAGTATCAAGTATTTATCACAGCTTTTCAGTGTCATTAGAAGGGAAAATGCTGTGATCACTACAATTTTACTTCCGTGTATTTTCCCTTAAAGAGTTGTCCAAATGAATTTGTAAATTCTTGTTGTATTTTGTACAACTCTTTTAGGTTACCTGGTTCACTCTGAAATCTTGTTGGAAGCCAACTGTATGTGTTGGAATGGATGACTGGCAGTCTTTTACTGTCGCTAGCTCAACAGCAGGCATGGACCTGGACTTGCTTGAGAAACATCTCGGGGATTTAACCTTTTCCAAGTCCTCACCTTTTTAAATGTTGTGCAAGTGAGTTCATTCCTGATAACTCAGAGATGCTCTTTGATAGATAAGCTGGTTTGCTGCTGATTTACATAAAGCAAGGAAGGAAGGAATACAGCAATAAATTTTGTTGTAAAAAGCTTGCATGGGGAATTACAATATCCTTAGTTATTTCTGGTTCCTACTTACCTGTGCTGCAAAACATGAATTTTGTCAGTCAGCAGTGTCCTTTCGGGGGAAAGATTTGAAAAAATGGTGAAATTTTGGAAAAGGCACACACAATCTCAAAAGTTATTGCCCTGCTGAATGTTGGCTTCCTTAAAAGGTTGTAGGGAAGGTCTGTATGTATATATCCTGGCTGGAGTTCTAGCTGCTAATTGTAATTGTCCAAGAATTCAGCCTGGAGAAGAGAAGGCTGCGGGGAGACCTGATTACGGCCTTTCAATACCTAAAGGGGGCCTATAGGAAAGATGGGGAAAATCTTTTTAGTAGGGCCAGCAGTGACAAGACAAGGGGTAATGGTTTTAAACTAAACCAGGGTAGGTTTAGACTAGATATAAGGAAGACATTCTTTACAATGAGGGTGGTGAAACACTGGAACAGGTTGCCCAGAGAGGTAGTGGAGGCCCCATCCCTGGAAGCATTCAAGGCCACGTTGGACGGGGCTCTGAGCAACCTGATCTGGTTCAAGGTGTCCCTGCTCCCTTCAGGGGGGTTGGACTAGATGACCTCTAGGGGTCCCTTCCAACCCAAAACATTCTATGATTCTAAGAATTTGCCCCATCTCATCCTGGTGCTAGAGAGTTGAAACCTGAAAGTTTTTCTGTGGAGCTTCAAAGATCTTCATAATGTCCTTAGCTACTTTGAAGGAAGTAACAGCTACATAGAAAACAATGGATAAGGTTTTGAAGCCTACTTTGCAAACCAGCATGTACTGATTAAGTAAAAAGGATTTGTTGTCAAATGACATCCTGTGTATTTATTTCCACATTCACAGTGTTCATCCTTCGCTTGCCAGCTTTATCTTCAAATATAATCTTCTGGAGTTTGTCAGCTCTTAGAGTAACTTTATTGCTACAGACCTTTTACAGCTATTTCATGTAGGGAGTCAAATGAAATAGAAATTACTGCTTTCTAGAAACTTACCTCCAGTACTTGGCTTCCTTAATAGTATTTCTATTCTTCAAGAAAATAATGTATGAAACTGTGTTCTCTTTCTGCTGACTCCACTACAGCTGCTGTGAGAATTAGGCAAAGATCCATTATGCAGCAAATCTAAAACGCAACCTTTTTTTTTTTTTTTTTTAAACTATTTATCTCCTCAAGGGAGAATCTAGTACTTGGTTATCTCCAACAGAATATTGGTCCCTCTAAAGCAGTGTTTCTTCACCTAAGCTAGAAATATTGACCAGTTTGATGCCAGTGTTTTCTGTAATTTTCATTTATGAGCTGATGCAGATCGGGGAATTGCTGGCTGTGAAACATCAAAGGGATTGCCTTTCAGCTTCACCAAATAAATGCTTATATTTTGCACTTTTGTTCTTTGTGGATGGATAAAGATTGATGCTCTAACAGTCTTCTAGTAATGTAATCAAACAGCATTTCCAGCATTGTCTTATGTGCAAGTGTTACAAATTGTTGAGGTTTATTTTCATATACTTGTTGATCCTTGGAGCTGGCAGCACTGGTTTGACAAGGCATCTTTTCTTACTCCTATATTATTTGGACTGTTGGAAATGAATTAAAAAATTCTCTGAATGAATTGTTGGACTAATTGCTAAATCTCTAGTGTTGCTGCCAGAAGACTTTGTGTGTTAGTCTCCTGCATCTTAAGATAGTAATAGCATATGGGAGTATTATTTGGCTGAGTTAGCAGGGCTGTATTTGGAGTGGAAAAGGTGAGCTACAGAAGTTCATCCTCAGATACGGCTGTTCTTGCCAAGATTTTGAGAGCAGCACGCAAGTTTCGACGCACTGCTTACTATAAATGTAAGCAACCGGCATTACTCAGTTCTTGCTAAATTTGCTTTTTCAAATGTATTAGAACATACTTAATGAAATTACCTTATACAACTATCATAGAATCATAGAATGTTTTGCGTTGGAAGGGACCCCTAGAGGTCATCTAGTCCAACCCCCCTGCAGGGAGCAGGGACACCGCTAACTAGATCAGGTTGCTCAGAGCCCCGTCCAACCTGGCCTTGAATGCTTCCAGGGATGGGGCCTCCACCACCTCTCTGGGCAACCTGTTCCAGTGTTTCACCACCCCCGTTGTAAAGAATTTCTTCCTTAGATCTAGTCTAAACCTACCCTGGTTTAGTTTAAAACCATTACCCCTTGTCCTGTCACAGCTGGCCCTATGAAAAAGACGTTCCCCATCTTTCCTATAGGCTCCCTTTAGGTATTGAAAGGCCACAATCAGCTCTCCCCGCAGCCTTCTCTTCTCCAGGCTGAACAAGCCCAACTCCCTCAGCCTGTCCTCTGGAGCCGAGGGCTTCAGAGCTGGCC